TCTATAATGATGTCAAAATTAAAAGTTGCATTTTTAAAAAGCGTCTCAGTTTCCATGCAGAGAATGAGTCAAAAAGGGGTTAAGAGTGGGAGAGTGGGCTCCAATTATGAAGCCATTCCAAGGAGTCCAGAGAGCTGCTGGGCCTTGGGCTAGGGGGGTAGGATGAGGGCCGTGGACTGATTCGCGATGCGTCCAGGAGGTTAAGATGACGGACGCACTGACAGATCACGTGTGGGAGGCAAAGAAGAGGAAAAAGTCCAGAAGGACTGCAGGTTCCTTCCTTGAGCAAGTAGGTGGATCTGGCATCTTTTACCGAGATAGGATACAAAGGAAGAGGAGCAGATTTGGTTCTTGGTGGTGGTGGTGGCAGAGGGGGAGGCAGGCAGAGGGAGCTCATTTTTGGGCATGTAAAGTTTAAAGAGCGAATGAACTATCCAGGCAGGGATTCTGGGTCAGTATTTGGAAATGCAATCAGCTAAACATGAGGTGATTTTCATATTTGTACTAACCAAACCTTCTCCTGATGAAGTCCAGGCTATAGATAACTTAGCAAAAAATATGAAATCCTATGGCAGTTTTTCCTTACATGTCTATAGCTGTGATGACTTGACTTCTTTTTTAATAACTTTATTTTAAAATTGTTATTTTATTGTTTTATTTTAATGACCTAAGTCCTATGTGAATGCCTGCTCATTGTAAAAACTAATGATAAAATTCATACCAAAGCATATGGAACTAAAAGTGAAATATTCTCCCTTACCCCTTTCCAATTCTACTGCCTTTCCTCTAGGAAAAGATGAGAGAGTAAGAAGTCATTCCCCCACCTCTCCACATCATGCTTTGGCCCTTCTCTCTGCAAGAGCTTACTTGCTCCCCAAAGTGGGAAAGGGTCCAGAGCTGACTGGGGAGTGCCTGACATTGGTGGGGCCAGGTTGGACTAGCAGCCGGTCACTGCTGGAATCTTCCCTGAGCAGGGACCCAGCTTCCTGACTCCTCTTCCTGTCTCCACGTGCAGCAAGCACCTGCTTTTGAGAACAGGCCTCGTTCTCTCCCTAGGTCTCTCTGTTTCACCTGCAGCTGCCGTGGGATGCTGGCCTGCTCTCTTCAACTAGGCTATTCATCAGCCGTGGCCTCGAAGACGTGGGGCTGCTGTCTAAACCCAGTCAGTTCCCTTGATCATGTCTGAGAGTGTGTGACCCCAGGTGCAGACTGAGGGCTGGAGGTAGAGACTGCACTTTGGCCTTGGGCCTGCAGAGTGTTGTCTAATTCAGCTATGATCTGAGAGCCCTGGATAAAATTTTTGCTCAAATTAATAAAGTAGCATGGAGAAAAAGGCAGGAAAGAGGTTCAAAAGTTGTCATGCCAAGAAAAAACTGTATACACTACGTTGAAAATTATGCTTGAACAGCCTCTAGGAAGGTACCGTATTAGAAACTGCTCCTTGGAATACCATGCAGCCATAAAAAGGAACGAGATCATGTCCTTTGCAGGGATATGGATGAAGCTAGAAGCCATTATCCTCAGCAAACTAACACAGGAACAGAAAACCAAAAACTGCACGTTCTCACTTATAAGTGGGAGCTGAACAATGAGAACACAAGGACACAGGGAGGGGAACAACACACAATGGGGCCTGTAGGGGTAGGAGGAGGGAAAGCATCAGGATACATAACTAATGCATGCGGGGCTTAATACCTAGGTGATGGGTTGACAGGTGCAGCAAACCACCATGACATATGTTTACCTATGTAACAAACTTGCACGTCCTGCACACGCATCCCAGAACTTGAAATAAAATAATAATAACAACAATAATAATAATAAAAAAGAAATCGCTCCTCAATATGCTTCCTTTCCTGAGCTGGAAGAGACCACTACTGATGAAGCGGCTTTTGCTTAGGAGCCATGTTGCACAAACCAAGCCCGCATGTCTTCAAACCCTGGAATCAAGCTCAGTGCAGTGAGATGCACGCCATTGAGGGGACCTTGGGAACTGCCCTTGGCTGGGAGCAGTGGGCTCCTGCGCCTTCCTCAGGCTCATTCCAGGGCTGTGGGAAGCTCATTCACTGGCTGCAGTTATTACACTCTCTCTATTTTCTTGCCAATTGCATATAGTTGTTTCCATGTAAAATAAATGTGCACATGATGCAACTCCTCTGTGCTCTCTTTTCCATTTGGCTAATAATCCTTGGCATGTGCCCCACTGTTCAAAATCCTGAAGGAGAAGATAAATAAGGGGCCCCTGAGCTTCTCATTAACTTGGGATCTACCCTTCTGGATCTTTTTCTATGCATTTATATATGCATACATACCTGATCTTTTACATAAATAGAAACGTACTATACATATGGTTCTGCAACTTAATATTTTCACTGAATCATGGAATTATGGGATTTCCCCTGCACATATCAACAGATATAGATCTAACACATCTTTCAAACTAGTCCCTAGTATGGATAGTCTATAATATTTGTAACCATTTGCCACTGCTGAACTTTCTTTTTTAGAAAGTCCAGTTTTGGCTATTATAAACATGACTATAATAAACATCCTACATATAAATATCTTTACATATTTATGTGACTATTTCTAGCAGATCAAAGAGTATGTATATTTGAAACTTTAATATTTACTGCTGAATTGTCCTCCAAAAATGTTTAATGATTTTTACTTCCAACCACACTGTATGTTCCCTAACACTGTATATTATACATCTTTTAAAATTTTGCCAATCTAATGGATAAAAGGGAGTATCTCATTTTATTTTTGTTTCTTTGATACAAAAGAGACTGAATGCCTTTTCAAATGTTTAATGCCAATTTCTGTTTTTTTCTTTGGGAAAATTTTGTTCATAGCTAAAAAATTTTTTCCACTGGGTTGTTTGTATGTTTCTTATAGATTTTTAAGATAGATCTTTTAGGACGGGTATTCATCTTTTGTTGCAAATATTTCTTATGGTCTGACACTTATCTTTTATTTGTATATGATGTCTTTAACTCAACTATTTTTTTTTTAAAGGATAGCTTCTGGGTAGGAAGTCTCATTTAGACAGGCCCTTTCTGCCTCAAAATTATACTTTTAGAAATTTCAGGGCCGGGCGTGGTGGCTCAAGCCTGTAATCCCAG